TGTTGGCCAGTCGCGTCCGTCGGCGTTACGGACCGGCCGCGAAGTTTCCCTGCTTCTCGGCGACGTTGCAAGGTTTGACACGTTTACGAGCTGCGGTTCCAAACGCTGATGGTATCAAGCGCAACCTTGCCTGTTGCTAGACTTAGAACGTTTGCAGGGCGACTTTGATCGGCTATGACGACGACGGTCCATAGTAAGCTGCTGGACCTAGCGACTAAGCGTCGCAACTTGTGTTTGCAGGGCTTCTATAGTTGACTGTAAGCCAGTGATAGAAGTGCTCTGGGACGCGAGGGCATTCATCTTGCTTGCGTCGGCTTGTGGCTGTGGTCGTTCAATAACTCGATCTGCTAAACCTGCTAGTTGAGTGAGCGAAACGGAGCTCACTGTAGCGAGAATCGCTTGTGTGTTTCCGGTAGCCGTTGTAGCCATAGTTCGCGAAGTAGTTTCTCGTCCATGGTTGAGGAATCAAGGAGTTGCTGCATCTCCCTTAGCACAGTTGAGGGCAGTTTGTCGCCCAGCTGCAGGTCCCTGAAAAGCTGTTGCAGGCGAACTTTCTCAGAGGGCATAACACGCTTGATCGTGGTCTCCTTGAGAGCCTCATAGCGGTTTTCGGTCTGAGAAATGATGACGTAATGAACCTGCATTGATATCTCCTTGGGGAGATAGGACAGGAGCTAGCAATACTTCGCGTAGTCGGAAGTGATTCTGTGGTTATAAAACTCGGCCTCAAGATGAGCGAACCACAAAAGAGGATCCATATCCCCAATAGGTGTTACAGAGAGAGATACAACGCTAAGCAGAGACTCTACCTTATGGTCTACAGAATCCATGGCTTAAAAAATTACGCGAACAAATAGGCTATTGTATACAAAAATAAACCGGAAAATATGAAAAATAAATGGAACGAGCTCACCAGAGAAAAGTTCCAAATATCCGGCGCGGAGGGTGATCCGGATTCGGGGTCACCAATTTAGAGGGTCGCCTGTAACGGGAGCCCAGAGAGCGATTCGAGAAGACGGACCGAGTTGCAGGGAAACTTTTATTGGTACAGTACAAGATTCCCTGTTATCTATCCATAAAAGAACGACGCCGTGGACGCTCTAGCTAGGAGAACGGATCAAGCACAGCACACAGGGCAGTTGCGCGTTACAACCAAAACGAGCGCCAAGCAAAAAATGGCGATGAGCAAGTAAAGCATTCGAACTCAGCAATCCGTTCAACAAACCACACCGGTTGCCTAGGTGTACAATTAAAAAATTTTGGTTAGAATTTTACACAGGCAAACCGGGGAATCTCCAGACTGCTACAAGGGAATCAGTGGACAGCATATGAATTCGCATTGGGCCTTCTAGTTCTTAGTGGATACTTACAGTGGCACGGGGGTCAATAGACCTGCGTAGGTATGTGTTGCAAACCATTCAAGGGAGTAAGTGTTGCAGAGATAATGAGTGACTCCTAGCGCAATGATGAACGCTGACTACAAGGACCCGCTGCAGCTGAAAGTTGGTGACATAGGTAATACGAAGAACTGGTAATGGTGCTAAGAGAGAGAGAGTATCGAGGGCTGGCCTGTCATTGGGTTGAAGCCTTTTAGTAGCTGGTGGATACCTGGAGTGTCCCAGAATAAGTTAACAGACAGCAAATGTGTGTGATGCAGGCAGTCTCAAAGGATAAAGGTTAGAGATAAGAAAAGGTTAGGGTCTGGATGAGAAGGGTTTATTGGTAAAGCGTAGAAAAGTCCACGAGCCTCTCCAAGTTATGTAAACAGAAGCATTAGGTCAGCCGAACCAAGAGAAGTGATGGCTCAGAAGTCCAAATGTATTCATTGTGTAGGAGGCCGACTAAGCGGGATTGAGTAAATCGGCGCTTTGCGACTAGGGCGTGAAATGAAGGAAAGAAAAGTGCTTTAACACTAACCAGGGAACAAGTCTAGCCGTCCATCAGGGTAGGGGTAGCAGCGTTAATTCTGCCGAGCATATACCGTTTAAGTCTCGGTAACATGGGAGCGGTCAGAGAGAAACAGATTAGCCCGGTAGGACAAGGTCACGGCAGGGCAGTAAAGCCGGCCGCCTGATTAAAAATGGAATGAAAACAGAAAGCGAGATGAGGAAAAGTTTGGGTCGGGTTGAGAGGGGTTTATTGATAAAAAGTGGAGGAGCGCACGTGGCTTGCCAGGTGATGTAAACAAAACGTTTGGTCAGCCGAACCAAGATTTGTAACGTCGAAGAACTCAGAGGAAACTCGGATAATAGGCGGCCGAGCTGGGCAGCCAGGATTAGTCGGCGTGTAGGAATAGCAAGTGCAATAAAGGCAGGATAGAGAGACGCAACGATGGAGGGTAAACGAGTCAAGTTGCCTCACGAGTAGAGGGTCAAGAGCGTTGAGTCTGCTCAGGGTCAGGATGAGAAAGGTTTATTGACGAAAGTTGGGAAAAGTCCACGAGGCTCTCCAGGTAATGTAGTCGATTAGTTGAGTCAGCGGAACTAAGAAAAGTGACGTCTCAGAAGTCTGAGTGGATCCAGAGAGCAGGAGGCCGATCGGGTAAGACTGGAGTAGTCGGCGCGTATGCATAAATACATATAGTAAAGGTGAGAAGAAAACTAACAATAAATGGTAGGCAAGTATGGCAGGCTCAATATGTAAGGGAAACATCTCTTTTAGTCGGCGGAGCGTAGACCGCTTAAGTCTTAGTAGCACTGAAGGAGACAGAAAGAAAGAGACAGATCAGCGGGACTTGACCACTGCAGGGCAGTACGAGCTGGCCATCCAGCGGAAGAAGAAAGGGAAACGGCAATGACATTAAGTCGTATTAATGCTAAGAGCGAGCGTATCAGTGGCCAGCACTGGTATATGGATGGAGTTTTCTTGTGCGTACCTAGCGTCCCAAAATAAGCCAACAAGCAAGAAATGTATGTGACGCAGGCAGCCCCAAAGAATGAAAGTTTGAGAGATAAGAAAGTGGCTATTATCGAGCTCCGGATATGTGTAGAAATGCATGGAGCCTATGAAAATTAGTTTTCGCGTAACAGAGGTGCTGAGGTTAAGACGATCGACAGCTAATGCTGCTCTGAAAACTTTCGGAGCCAGATGTAATCCTTCCATTGAGCAGGTTAGTCACTATTGAATGCCTACAGTTTCACTGATTTCATTAACAAGCCAGCGAAGGTAGCTGATACAGACATTCTAAAGGATTATAGGATGAAGAAATAAGGGGTGTCTCCTAGTAGCTCCGAATATGCGCAATGATGTATGAGGCCTGTGAATTCTAAATTCTCGATTCTGAACTATACTACTGCACATTTACCAGTAGTTCAATTTCTTTATATTTTTCCCGTTGGACGGTGTGGTACTCGAGTTTACCTGTTCATGCACAAATGTTCGGCTTTAACAAACTGATAAAACCCTGCAATTTTTCTACATTTATTTTCCTTTTTATATTTGCTTAATTGTTGTCAACTTATGGTTTGCGTCTCACGGTTGTAATTTGTTTTACTGGGCCAATTTTACGGACTATTCGCCATTTGCGCAGACTTAACTGCAGACGTAGAATAATTGCTGCCCGAATTAGCGAGTCGCATTACCTATTCGTGAGTTAATTGTATGCTTTTATGCTTATTACTGCTATTGTAGAACCACGGTTATTCAGTATACACATTCCGCCCACTGCCCTGCATTTTAACTGCCCAGACCGTGCGTTAGTTAGGTGATACGATTAGCCTCATACTCGCTGCAGTAACACAAGTTGAATAGTGAACTCGCGCTCCGATGAACGAATCAAGGAAACATTCTTTGTCAGAGCATTCACAGCACAGCGAGGATAACGTAGCTTTGACAACGTCTGATCAGCTCTCTGTTGCAATGCGTAGAATTGCGGAACTAGAAAGTCGTCTGGAAGCTTTAAGCTTTAATGATGTAAATAAGGTACTTGCTGAAGTAGTTATGCTGGACGGTAAATTGACGCTTGTTCTGTCTGAGTTATCTGAATTTCCCGTGTCTAATAATTATGCTGAAGGCCTCACGGAAAGAGATGGGGACATAGACGGATGGTGTTGTCGGATACGGCGCGGGATTTCGCCCAGTTCTCACAGGTTCGAATCCCGCCGCCTGAGTTCAACGAATGGTAGCTGATGCAGACATTCTAAAGGATTATAGGATGAAGAAATAAGGGGTGTCTCCTAGTAGCTCCGGATATGCGCAATGATGTATGGGGCCTGTGAATTCTAAATTCTCGATTCTGAACTATACTACTGCACATTTACCAGTAGTTCAATTTCTTTATATTTTTCCCGTTGGACGGTGTGGTACTCGAGTTTACCTGTTCATGCACAAATGTTCGGCTTTAACAAACTGATAAAACCCTGCAATTTTTCTACATTTATTATCTTTCTTTTCTTTGCTTAATTGTTGTGAACTTACGGTTTGCGTCTCATCGGTTGTAATTTGTTTTACTGTGCCAATTTTACGGACTATTCGCCATTTGCGCAGACTTAACTGCTGACGTGGAATAATTGCTGCCCGAATTAGCGAGTCGCATTACCTATTCGTGAGTTAATTGTATTCCTTTTTTGTTTATTACTGCTATTGTAGAACCACGGTTATTCAGTATACTCATTCCGCCCACTGCCCTGCATTTTAACTGCCCAGACCGTGCGTTAGTTAGGTGATACGATTAGCCTCATACTCTCTGCCGTAACACAAGTTGAATAGTGAACTCGCGCTCCGATGAACGAATCAACGAGGCATTCTTTGTCAGAGCATTCACAGCACAGCGAGGATAACGTAGCTATGACAACGTCTGATCAGCTCTCTGTTGCAATGCGTAGAATTGCGGAACTAGAAAGTCGTCTGGAAGCTTTAAGCTTTAATGATGCAAATAAGGTACGTGCTGAAGCAGTTATGCTGGACGGTAAATCGACGCTTGTTCTGCCTGAGTTATCTAGATTTCCCGTGTCTAATAATTATGCTGAAGGCCTCACGGAAAGAGATGGGGACGTAGACGGATGGTGTTGTCGGATACGGCGCGGGATTCCGTCCAATTTTCACAGGTTCGAATCCCGCCGCCTGAGTTCAACGATTTGGTTCCATCTGCGCCGGATGCTATCGCAGGTCTACCAAAAAGGGAAATTGTACGTTTCGACGGGGATCCGATGAAATATTGGTTGTTTATACGAAGTTTTCAAGCCAATGTTATGAGTATTACTTCTAACCCTTGTGTGAGACTTTCATATCTGATTAATTACTGTGAAGGCCAGGCACGCGAGGCTATTGAGAGTTGTGTTATATTGGATCCGGAAGAGGGTTTTCTTGATGCCATGGAGACGCTCAAATCGAGGTTCGGCCGCCCTCACTTGATTGCTAGAGCTTACATCGAAAGTCTAGTCAAAGGACCATCGATCAAGGCGAATGATTCGGAAGCGCTCCACAGATTAGCCGGGCAGATGAAAACTTGCTTAAATACGCTGCAACAACTAAATTACGAGGCCGATCTGAACGCGACTGTGACGGTGTCGGCTGTGATTAGGCGACTGCCTTACTCATTTCAGCTCGATTGGTCAAAGAAAGCTACCAGTATCCTCCGCACTTGTAGAGAGCCCGCCTTTAAAGACCTGTACCAGTTTGTTTGTGACGTGGCTGAGACTGTTACTACTCAGGCTATGTACTCGAATGAAATCATGAGAAGGACTGAAGGACCCTACACGGCAGACAGACCTCAAAGCCGTGGCAATCGCATAACTACCTTGGCAACCGGAGGAACAGTGCCGCAGACTCAGAGACGCGCGCCCTCGTGTGTCGCGTGCACAGCGCACCATTACCTTGATCAGTGCCCTCGATTCCAAGCCTTTGATCATTCCGAACGCTTGCTGCTCGTTTCTGGAAAGAGTCTATGTGAACTATGCCTCAAAGCTAACCACACGTCTGAGCTTTGCAGATCCCGAGTCACGTGCGGATTCAACGGTTGCCAGTTGAAACATCATCCTTTACTACACGAAGCCAAGACGAACCAACTAACTTCACCAAGAGCTGTGGTAAACGAAACGAATGTGTCGTGGGGTCGAATAGCTTTAGGGATTATTCCAATTCTGCTGCGTGGAAAAACCAAGTCACTGGTGACCAATGCTTTACTTGACCCAGGATCTGATTCGTCACTTGTCGATGAACAGCTGTTGCAAAGGCTTGACTTACCAGCCAGACCGTCAGTGGTACAAATAGCAACGGTTAACGGTGATTCAACGATGTGCTCGCAAGTTGTACGCCTAGAGTTGCAACCGCTAGAAGGAGGTAAATCACTGCATGTGGATCATGCGTGGGCCGTCAAAAGGATGCCTAAGGTACAGAGGATAATACCGGAGCCAGAACGCCTGCGCAGTTGGGAACACTTAAAGGACCTACCGTTTATCGATGGTTGTGATGAAGGAGTCGGAGTGCTTATTGGCATGAATGTCCCGGAAGCCCACTGGGTGCTTGAGCATCGGTATGGAAAACCGTCAGACCCCTTTGCCATACGAACACCGTTAGGTTGGATCCTGCTCGGTCCGGTGGGGGGGAAAGGCGTAACGAACATTTACACCAACTCAATCAGTGTAGAAGACTCTACTTCGAGCTTTCTTGAAAGGATGTATGAGTTGGAATTCACTGAGCCATGTAGCTCAAGACGCGGAATGTCTGTTGAGGATAAACGCGCATTAGAGCAGATGGAGTCAGCTATCGTTAAATGTGGTTCACATTATCAACTCAATTTACCATGGAAAAGCGCATGCCCAAAGTTGCCAAACAACTATCCTGTCGCTTACCGAAGACTGATGTCATTGCGCAAAAGGCTCGTGGCCAACCCAGAGTTACATCAGATGTACACAGCTGCCGTTGAAGAGTACGCGTCGAGTGGGTTTGTGGAAATGATTGACCCAGGACCGCTTGGTGATAAAAAAGGCGTTTGGTATATGCAACATCACGCTGTGACGTACCCCAACAAGCCCGGGGAAGTCCGTGTCGTTTTCGACTGTGCCAGCACCTACCAGGGTACTTCATTAAACCAACAATTGTTGAAAGGGCCCGACTTAGTGAACAGTCTGGTTGGCGTTTTACTGAGATTCAGAATGGACAAAGTGGCGGCAACTGCCGATATAGAAGCCATGTTTCACCAGGTAATGGTGACACCGAAAGATAGAGACTATTTGCGTTTCTTGTGGTGGCTTGAAGGAGCCTATTTCTTACGCCTCAAAGAAGTCCATTGGCCCAAACTTCCGGAAAGTTTAAGCGAAATCCCGAAAGAGTGGCTGAAGAAGGAGCATGTTACAGTCCATAGTGCAACATTAACGAACACTTGGTTAGACAGGTTCGCAAGCTGTAGTAGCTGGGTCAAGCTCAAACGATGTGTAGCCACATTACTCAGATTTAAACGGTACTTGCTGAAAAGATGCGGAAGAGGTCTGAATAACCCGACTGATGGTCGTTTGACGTTATCTGAACTAAACGAGGCCGAAGTGGAGATAGTGAGAAACGTGCAACAGATCTCCTTCGCGGAAGAGATTAAAGTACTGGGAGCGAATCGACAGAAAGAGGCAGTTAGATGTTTGAAACGTTCCAACTGTTCGTTGAAGGGACTCTGCCCATTTTTGATTAACGGCATCCTACGAGTTGGTGGCAGACTGAATTGGGCACTATTGCCGTATGACGCTAGGCATCCTGTCCTGCTACCTGCCCAACATTACGTGACTAGACTAATTATCTTAGACTGCCACGAGAGAAACGGTCACGTCGGCCTGTCTCACGTCCTTTCTGAACTGCGTCAGCGCTATTGGATTTTGCATGGTGTTTCAGCAGTCCGCAAGGTCCTGAAGGCATGTGCACGCTGCATGATATGGAAGGCTCAGCCTTGTGAACAACAGATGGCCCCTCTCATAGAGGATCGTTGTATGGCATACCAACCGGCGTTTACGGCTGTTGGGGTTGACTATTTTGGACCACTACTGGTGAAGGAAAAACGAACAACGGGGAAACGGTATGGTTGTATATTTACTTGCCTCTCAGTAAGAGCGGTACACATAGAAATAACGCACGCCAAGAGGTCTGTGGCCAAAGGGCATAATAGAAGAAGCGAAGGCTGGGCGCGATGGACTGGTCCGGGAAGTTCTGATACGTACAAACAAAGGAACATTACGGAGAGACGTACGACAAGTGTGTCTATTAGAGGAGACTTTGGACGAAGAATTCAGCGAGGAGGCCAAAGACGCTGGGGGAGTGTGAATTCTAAATTCACGATTCTGAACTATACTACTGCACATTTACCAGTAGTTCAATTTCTTTATATTTTTCCCGTTGGACGGTGTGGTACTCGAGTTTACCTGTTCATGCACAAATGTTCGGCTTTAACAAACTGATAAAACCCTGCAATTTTTCTGCATTTATTATCTTTCTTTTCTTTGCTTAATTGTTGTGAACTTACGGTTTGCGTCTCATCGGTTGTAATTTGTTTTACTGTGCCAATTTTACGGACTATTCGCCATTTGCGCAGACTTAACTGCTGACGTGGAATAATTGCTGCCCGAATTAGCGAGTCGCATTACCTATTCGTGAGTTAATTGTATTCCTTTTTTTGTTTATTACTGCTATTGTAGAACCACGGTTATTCAGTATACTCATTCCGCCCACTGCCCTGCATTTTAACTGCCCAGACCGTGCGTTAGTTAGGTGATACGATTAGCCTCATACTCTCTGCCGTAACAGGGCCTACGACGAATTGCTGCGTAAAACATGATATAGATCAGAGGAAAGACATATAATTGTGTTAATAGAGAGAACCAGTAGGCCATAAGTGCATTCGCATTATGCCTTCTGATTATTAGTGAATACTTCCAGTGACAGAATAAGTCAACAAACCATCAAAGGTTTGTGCTGCAAATAATCTAAGAACATAAGTTGAAGTGATAAGGAGTGCCTCCTAATGCAAAGCGGTATGTTACCTACAGTGATCCGCAGCAGCTGACAAGTGGCGCCGTAGGTAAGGCATAGAACAGATAATGGTACTAGGGGAGAGAGTATCGGCGGCTAGCAATGGCATTTGGGTGGGGCCTTCTAGTTGCCAGTGGATACCTACAGTGTCCCAAAATAAGTCAAAAACTGCAAACCTATAGGATGAAGTCAGTCCCAGAGAGTAAAGGTAGGGTGAGCAAAAGAGTGGCTCTTAGCACGCTCCGGATTTGCGCAGAGATGGTTGGGGCATAAGCAGAATGGCTGCTGCTAAATCGAGGTGCCGGAGGTAAGACGAAGAACAGATAATGGTGCCATCATTGAGAGTATCCGTGATCAGCAAATGCATTTGGATAAAGCCTTCTAATTACTAGGATAATACTTAGGATATCCCAGAAGAGGTCAACCAACGGCAAATGTATGTGACGCAGGCAGTCCCAGATAATAAGGCTTAGATAAGTCAAAGAGTAGCTTATAGCAAGCTCTGAATAAGTGCAGCCACACGGAGCCTACGACCACCAGCTGTTGCTAAAGAGGTGTCATAACTAAGACGATCGACAGATGATGGCGCTAGGAAAGACTATCAATGGCCAAATGTAGCCATTCCAATAAGACGCTTGGTCACCAGTGCATGCCTACAGGGTCATAGAATTCATCAACAAGCCAGCGAAGGTAAGTGATACAGACATTTCATGAGAATCTATGATGGAGAGAGGAGTGTACCCTAGCGAGCTCCAAGTCTGCGCAGAAGTGGCATGGAGCCTACAACGAATGGCTGCAAAAAGAATATGAATAAGGCAAGACGAACGACATGTGATGGAGCTAGTGGAAGGTATCAATGGCCAGCAAAGGCATTTACATTAAGTCTTCTAAGTACTACTGGTATCTAAAGTGACAGAATAAGTCAACAAACCAGCGAAGATATGTGACGCAAATAATCCGACACAATAAAAGTTGGAGAGCTAAGAAGTGGCGCTTGCGCAATGACGTATGCTACCTAAAATGACGCTGCAACTGAAAAGTGGTGACGTTTGCTACCCGTACATTCGCACCCCAGTCACCGCCTACCCCGTTCGTTCGCCACATACACCAGATGTAAGCGTACCCATGTGTCGAATACCTTTCCAGTGCCTCATGTGTCCTTGCCTTCATTGACCGTAATCCCATCTGCATCATGCGCCGAGCGTGAAGAGTATGAAACCACCGTCCGGTAACCATGCACACCTAAATACATGTTTACGGCTATTCTCTATGGCTGCACACTATCACCATGTTCAGCTGCTCCATACGCTTTCATGACATCAAACAATGGAAGGCAACGTTTGTCTTTCTTAAGGCTTACTTCAGCGGAACGCGAAAATGGCCCTGTTATGGGCCCACCAGATTTTAATGTCCACGCCTTGGGGGTAGAGTGCGTCCATAGACACGCTCCCCATGCGGCATACGTATTCACCTATCCAGGTACCTTTACTATAGCGAAACTATCACTTCATCTCATAGCTATTTCAGCCTCTCACGGGTGCGTTTGCAGGTCATGAAGCCCCATGTAAAACAACCACCAGTTCTCCCCGTACTTGTCCCATTATTTAAGGGGTATCATGTTACATATGATCATTTAACATATTCGTTCAAGCATACACCTAACGGAAGCATTTATACCTCATGACCCCGTGATCCGCTGTGACGCTTTGCATTTGTCTGCAGCATACGCGTGGACCTTTTGATTATGGTTGAGCGATGATGCAGTTAGTAGTTTACCTACCGCTTTTCTCACCATCCTCCTACATATCCAACCTACTTTCATTGCCTTTGTGTGACAGTGGACAGTCAGCCGGTTATTTACATGTGCGAAAAGGTTATCCATTATTTCAATGCCATACGTATAGCGCAAATATTTAGGTACAAAGTTCCATAACAGACAGCAAAAACAGGGCGACATTTACACACATGCATTATAATACCTTACAAGTAAAATTCCATGGATCCGCAGTCTAACCCTTGCCTCAATCATCCTTCCACTATGAATTTAGACAGCAAATACGTAAGCATTACTTTTCAGCTATTTACGGATTCTTCTTCAGTCGGGTTTGGTTGACGGCATCCCCTACCCATTCCGTCGCCACCGACCAACCACATTGCCTATCACAGTAAGCCAGTGATTCTATACCACGCATGTGTGGGTTATAATGCACCCACTGGCAGTTCCAAACACGCGACGCCAATGCAGTGTGATATCCGAGGTTGTATGACAAGGTGAAAGATAACTGGGATAAAAGCCTCCGTAAAATGGGCAACCTAGAGAGATGAGAACACCATCGCAATGTTTTCGCGCTACCACAACCATAAGGCCATTTGCTGAATCACAGTCGTTGCAAGGCTTTTATATGCGAGCGTCATACCAGCTTTTCTAGGACAACAGGGCATACACACAGACCAAGACAAACGAAACCTAGAGACCATTGTAGCTAGCTCCGACGAGGTATAGCTGCATAGACGTGCACCAACGTTGGCAGCATGCATATGCAGCGCAGGACAAACACGCTATCACTAATATTAAAACTAAAAGTAACATACGTGTGTCCAGGATTTCCGCTACGCCGATATGCCACCAACT